AAAGCTAATACTGCTTTTTTCCTTAGGCAAGGATTCTATAAGTTCAATTCCCCACTTGGCAATGGTCAAGTTCTGGAGATAACACTTAGGTTTTGGGAATGTTGTCTTTGTATTGCGAGAAGCACTTACACTCGTCACATCTTTTCACAAATTGTCGTTCCCATCTCCACCGTCAGATTGGAATGATGTTTGTCACAAGTGAACCCCCTACAAGGGGAGCTTAAGGGGTCAATTCATGGTCCATCTCCAACTTATCGAAGGTCGCTCCAAATATGATATTGATCAAACTTTCATTATTCACTAGCAATCTTTTAAGACCATTTTGTATCACAACAACCCTCACTACTAAAACATCACAATGTGGATAGTGTAGGCCAACTGTATCATTTTGTGTGAAAGTAATGGGTTGCACTCCACTTTTAGTTGAGGGTTGATTGTTGTTGACTATGAAGCTTGCCTGGGAGGATCTCTGGCCTTCTTTACATAGTTCATTTGTGAAGTTTTGGTTCCTCCAACGTACAGGCCTCCAAAATTGTATATATTTCTCAAATGGGCTCGTGGCCTGTGTTAGCTGGAGGGCTCATCCTTTGCCTTGGCCTTCCCTAACCCTTTTCCCATCACTTTCTTGCCTCCGAGGAACATCATTACGAAGGGAATGCTACACCTTGCCTTATCTCTCAAAAGTTGTCAATCCTACTTATGAGGGGGCGTACCTCCTCATGGGTGTCTATTCCTCCTTTGATTATTGGGCTACGAGTGCAATCGGACATGTAGGGTCGTAGGAGTGGTGGTAGGTACAATAAATGGGTACTTTGTCCCTATTTCTACGTTCAGAACTTCGACCCCCACCCTTTTCCCTTTGAGGAAACTGTTGACCAGACATTCCTTGATGCATCTCAACGCTGGGGTTCGCTTCCTCAAAAGCTAAAGCAGGCACTACATTTAGCGTTGCTGCAGCCAATGCTTGTTCTAAGTTGAGGGTGGTCGACTGCCCGACCTAGTGATCCATGAAATGAGAGGTATGACCTCTTTTTGGTTATCTTTGAGAAGGTGGGAGTCTCCGATTGGCCTTATTGCGATGATCTTTCAATTCTTCATTGATGACGTCACACCTTATCATTACTAGTACGATGTCATAATTGATAGGATCTTTGTTCTGCACGTCTCTCTAAAAGAGAAAGTTCATTTACAGCTCTCCCCTCAGGGCCGATAGTGTTTATCTGTTAGTAACTTGTACACAATAGGTCATTTTATCAATTGAACATGATAATAAGCTTTTCAGTGACTATCCTGATTGTTGCTTCATGTCTTGGAGGTACTGTATATGCCCTTTACCTCTTTGCTAGTCGTGAAGTGCTTAAGGAAAGCTTCTTGAAGTCTGGCCAACTTCTAATGCTTCTTTCTAAAATCCTGGTGTACCATATTTCGGCAGTTCCACTTAGAATCAGGTGAAAAGGCTCTGCATTTTACTGTAGGAGACGAGCCTCTCAAGCTCATATGAGTTTTGAAGCTGTTAAGGTGCTTTGTCCGATCACCCCTTCCATCATACTTGGGGTTTTGGTGGCACGAGGTGGCTTGGGACTGGGGCATTCTTTAGTTTTTAAGAGATAACAAGTTGTCGTCATCATCTTTAAGGTCATAAGACCTTTGGGATTTGTCGGAACCTTCATCCTCTCTGACCTGAGGTCCAGGAGATGGTTTGGACGGGTCTACTTGATTGCTAGCCTGTTTTGCCATTCTCTGACACCTATTTCTTGACGGAGGATTCTGAGGCATGTAGCCTTCGGTATTTTCATTTTGTCTTTCAAACTGAGGCGATCCCTACTGCTTATTTCTAGGTACAGGAAGAGGTTGAACCTGCCTATTTCTAGGCTCTTGTGCTAGTTGGGAATGTCTGTTTCTAGGTCTTCTGGGGTTCAACCTTTGAGGACGCTTATGGATCTCTGAGGTATATTCTCTTGTACGTAATTGGGAGGAAAGTTGAATGGAGCCTCGTTGGGCCGATTAGTGGCGATATTAGAGGAAGTGTCGATCCCAACTTCACTCTCTTGGGGAGCCCCTTCCCTGGTATAGTGTTGCTAATCTGCCATTTAGATTTGAACTAGGAGAAGATTGTGGGTGTAAAGCATTTCCTTAGGCTGCATATGGGAAAATTGGGTATCTTCCCAGCTCTGCATTTTCCTAAACAGCTTTTGCATGACAATACTATATTGGGTGATATCTTTAATGTTTGCAGCCATGGTGGCCACCTCCCTAGTGAGTCGGTAGCTAGTCTGGATCGATCTTTTGACCCACATCGTCGATGTTGTTGGTGAAATCTATGGAAGGCTGCAGGAGCGGCGTGTGAGGGTTCCCCTTCTTCAGGGTGCTCCCTTGCCCTCCGAAGCGCTGACTTTTCATTGTCGGAGCTCGTGTTAGCGTCTTTCCTTCAAAGACAACTTTCTTGAGCGTATTTTCTTGGCAAATGATATCCGTTTTTCAAAGAACAATCTGGACTCTTTTCCAAGTGGTATCTCTTAAGGTTTTTATTTGTTATTTCTTCAAGAACATCCACTTTTCTTCAGAGGCTGGAAACTTACCTAAAATATATCTTCTAATCAGCTTTTTCCACAAGTTTCTTGTGGTTGAATGATTTTTCACAACATTAACCTCAACCATTGGATGAAGTAGACGTTGCTACATCCGACCCACTCGGACATCTTGTTGTAACTATACCATATCCCACTTGCCATATGGTGCACTCAAGTGTGTAGGGGAAATGAGCCGCCTTTTGGAGTGTATTAGTGTACATAATTAATTGGGTGACAAGATTTGACTTAGTTGGGCTGCAAGTGGTCACATCAATCATTTGTTAGATACTATGATCTCCTTGGGAACTGCTTTTAATCCAAGGGCCTTTGGAGGGAGCGAGTTTAGGATAGAAGGCCTCGGTGCAAAGGACTTCGGCGATTGAGTGGGCTTCGACCTGTTGACTTTGGTCAACCTTTGACTTTTCCTTAGGTTGTTACCTCCACGTTAAATCACTGTGCATTCTAAGCCTCTGTTTGAACTTCATTATTTAAAAAATCATTTTTTCAAAATTTTTTTAATCATATATGTAGAGATGTCAATCGAGCCGAGCGGCTCGTCTGTTCGGCCGCTCGACTTGTATTGTTCATGCCCACGAGCCGCTAGACGAGCCCGAGCTCGAGCCGAGCGGACCGGTATGTAGACGAGCCGAGCTCGGCTCGGCTCGTTAAGAGGCGAGCGCTTGTGGGAACGAGCCCACGAGCTCGTGAAAAAACATTTAAAAAAAAAACTAAGAAAAAAAAAAAGTTTGACGAGCCACGAGCTGAGCCGAGCCAGCTCGTGAGCTCGGAGTTCGTGGGCCGAGCCGAGCTCGCCCACGAGCAAATGAGCCACGAGCGGCTCGACTCGTGAGCTCGTGGAGATTGAGAGCCTAAAAACTTTTAAAATTTTGATTGCGGACTTGAGCACTCCAAAGAGCAAATTACGAAGACTGCTACTCAAAGTCTCTGTTTGACAACCATTATTTTTAAATTATTTTTTCTGTATATTTATTTTCAATCAGATTCACACAATAAAATAGTATGCACGTAAATTCAAAAAAAAAAAATTGAACTTTTTAATCACACATTATTCTAAAAATTACTATTCAAAACTCTATCTTTCTCAAATAATGGTTGTCAAACATGGACATAATTTCTTTAAAGTTCTCGACAAATTCCTCCAGGGTCTCCAACATTTCCGCTTGTGTCATTCTATGTCCTCAGCCTTTTAAAATTGTTCTGCAATATCACTGTTGACGAAAACGTCTATTTAGACGGCAAAATGACACACAACACTGAATTCTGAAGAGCTCTTGAACATATATAAACCCATGGGGAAGCTTTTCAATTTTACATGCCAAAAGACTAATTATCCATTGGTATTATTCAAAGCAGAGGAAAATTATTCTGAACAATTGTACTCATCAATCGTTTATCATTTGCCACGACGTATCCTTTGGAGTTTACATAGACAATTTCATCGAGTTAAGCTACCGTTTGCATAATTTTAATATGTCATACCATACGCATGATTTTAAAATGTCGAGAACACGAGTATACCAAACGAACCACTAAAGGAATTTGGCTAATGGCTATGAACTTCTTCTTTAAAAAGTTTTGGAAGCTTCTGTCAACCCTGCGAACAGTAGCTTAACTCGATGAAATTGTCTATGTAAACTCCAAAGGATACGTCGTGGCAAATGATAAACAATTGATGAGTATAACAAACGAATCACTAAAGGAATTTGGCTAATGGCTATGAACTTCTTCTTTAAAAAGTTTTGGAAGCTTCTGCACCCCCCCTCCCCCCGCCCCAACCCAATAGTCAGGGCCGGTCAGGGGGTTGTCAAACCGCGGGTAACCATAGCATTTCTCAATTCGAAAAGCGTCTGTAGGAAAAAAGTTCTCCGTTAAAGTCGTAGGTAACGCCTATAAGAATATCCGACTTCCAAAATGCATAGCTTTCTTCTTCTCCAAACAAACAAAACCCGTGTTTCTCTCGATACACAAAAACCAGAACTTCAAATTCTTAGTCATTTCATCAATTGCTATTTTCCTGCCGTGAAATCTGTTGACTCCATTCCCAAATTCATAGCCGATTCAGTTTCCCCCTTATAACCTGCGCCATTATAACCTTTTTCCTTGGTTCTTGCTCCCTAGTAAGAATCCCCCGGCTCACGCACTCCCTCTACGGATTCCTCTCAAATCTGTAATATTTGCATTTAGGGTTTCTTTATTGGGATTAATAATGTGCCTTTCACGAATCCTTTGGGGTTCGTGGCAGGTATTATAGTGGATTTTCTTATTCTGCCATTTGTTAACGGTTTGTACAAAATTATAGGTTATTATGGGGACGTTGTGTACGAAAATAATGTCAAGATTTGATGGTTTTTTTTAGGGGTCTTGTTTAGTTTTTAGGGTCTGGGATTTGAATACAGGGAAATCTTAGGGATGCCTTCCGCTGGTATGATTAAAATTAGCTCGGCATGTGAAGAGTCTATGATTTTTTCTCCACCCCCTTTGGCTGCTTACTGTCAGGAGTCGATTTTGATATATGTGGCTACGTCGGGGTCTAATGTTCCAATGCGGGTCTTGGAGACGGACTCGATTGAGTCTGTGAAGCTCAGGATCCAGACCTGTAAAGGGTTTGTAGTGAAGAACCAAAAATTGGTATGCAAGGGGAGGGAACTGGCAAGGAGCAATTCGCTGGTTCGGGACTATGGGGTTATCGATGGAAATGTTTTGCATTTGGTCCTCCGCCTCTCCGACCTTCAGGTCATTATTGTGAGGACCTGTTGTGGGAAAGAGTTCACGTATCATGTTGAGAGGAGTCGGGATGTTGGTTATATTAAGTATAAGATAGCAAAGAACAAAAATTTGGAGTCTATTGTTGATCAGGAGGTTTTCTGTAATGGTGAGCCAGTTGAGGATCAGAGGCTGATAAATGATATCTGTAATGATAATAATGATTCTGTGATCCATTTATTTGTGCGGAAATCGGCGAAAATTAGGTCTAGACCAGTGGAGAAGAACATTGAGTTGTCTATAGTTGCTCCACAGTCGAATGACGTGAGAGAGTATGATGTGGATACAGAAAATAGGCATGAGAGCCAAACGGAGACTGAGCATAATCTCTATATGCTGAGTAAGCCTCCAGGTGGAGAGATTTTATTGGAGCCTGTGATTGTTAATCCAAAAGTTGAATTGGCTCAAGAAATTAGGGATTGGATTGACTCTACACGAGATGGCTTATATAGCGGGAATTATCCAATTAGGTCTGTAGAGGGCACCGGGGGAGCATATTTTATGCTGGATGCATCTGGGAATAAGTATTTATCTGTGTTTAAGCCAATTGATGAGGAGCCTATGGCTGTGAATAACCCAAGAGGGCTTCCTTTGTCAGAGGATGGTGAAGGGTTGAAGAAGGGGACAAGAGTTGGAGAGGGTGCAATCAGGGAATGTGCTGTCTATTTGTTGGATCATCCAAAGAGTGGTCGGCGCTCTTTTTCTGGTGAGCTTAGAGGCTTTGCAGGTGTTCCTCTGACAGTTCTCATTAAGTGCCTGCACAAGGGATTTAATCATCCCGAAGGTGTGACTGCTAAGATTGGGTCCTTGCAAATGTTCATGGAGAACAATGGAAATTGTGAGGATATGGGCCCTAATGCCTTTCCAGTTGAGGAGCTGCACAAGATTGCGGTATTGGATTTGAGAGTTGCAAATGCGGATAGGCATGCTGGCAATATATTGGTGAGCAAAGGCCAAGATGGCCAAACTGTACTAATCCCAATTGATCACGGTTACTGTTTGCCTGATTCTGTAAGTCCTCTTTCTAGCTTTTCATTTATTTTTTAAAGTCAGTTTTAATTGGTTACGGAAACTCCACTTGCACGAAAATTACCTTTTTAGTAGCCTTTTTATATGTCAAATTATGAGATTTGTTATCTGTATTGCGTTTTACCAGAGTGAAATTGTATTAGCTGATAGATTTTTTATTCTATATAAGTCTTGTTGTTTGAGCCACCTTATCGTAGAATAAGAATGAAAAATATAGTCGTTATTGGGGTCCACACAAGAGATAGAAAATTTGAATTTAAATGTTGATGTGATGGATAACGGTCATATTTTTCATTTTAATGAGATAAAAAGGTGGCCCAAACGGGGGCTAAATCTGATTAGAAATGGAGATGCCGCACAAATTTATGAGTAATTTAAGTTAACAAGTATTTTCTAAGCTTCACTGTGAATTTTCAAGTCATGAAATTGGTTGAGGAATAATGATATTGGCAAAGTAGGTAACCTGTTTTTAAAATTGGAGTTGGGAAACTGGATGGTCAGGAGATGGAAAATATTGCCTAATACTTCAAATTATCTTTAAATACTGAAGAAAAGGTGAAAGGAAGAGGGAAGAGGTTGAAGACACATAGCTTTTCTTTTTACTGTTTTAGAGATAGTAACCATCGCACCGTGTATCTTAGTAAAAGTTTTCAGTCGACTTGAGTAAAGCTTTAAATATTATCAGCTTTAACATCTGGC